GTTAAGGACTACCTATATTACCATATTCTCATTACATCAAAAGCAATTGTCTCAGTTTGAAATTAAAATATTTAAGAAAAATCTTAGTTGCCTTCAATTTACTGCATCCTTTTTGTGTTCCAAATTGCCCCCAAGAGGCTTTTTGTCTGGCAAAGATTCAGGGACAGAAAACACCACCTGTTTGATATGCAGGCAGCTTGACTGGATGTGAACTTCCCTTTTCTATTTTACAGGAAACCTTTGCTGTGGTGACAGCTGGTCCTGAAGAAACAGGAAAATTGCTGGAAAATAAGTTTGATTATATCTTCTACACAGGTGATTTTCCCTTTTTGTATATTCTTTTCAGGTTATTTTTTTTAATATTTAAAATTATTTATCAATAATAATTGCACAAAACAGTGTCATAAGCAATATTGAAGTATTGAAATTGAAAGGTTCAGATAATTTATCTAAAATCATCCTTTAGGACCCTGCCACTACCTCCCATCTGCAGTAGAATTTATCTTTGTAGCTAATGCATTGCCTTTCTAGAAGGCCTTGTATATTGCAGCAATTTGCTATGTGTCTTGGTTAAGTAGCTTTATCCTGTCTATCACAGTACAGCTGAGTTAATGACAAGTTAGGTCAGGGAAACTGTTGCACCTGGCATTTGTAATTTCACCTGTCAGCAGCTTCCAGATTGTAGATCTTGCCCAGAAGTGGTAGAAAAGATGAGCAGTCACACTCTAAGTAGGAAAAAGCCTGTGCTTGATATAGAACTTCAGCTTTTGGAAATAATGAAAAGTATCAGTCTCGGGTGTTTTTCTGCACCCACATAGGTTTTCTCAGATTTGCTTTTCTTTTTCATTGCCAGAACAGCTCAAGATTATATTAACAACACTTAACAGGAATTTGACAACAGTTTGACATGGGATTTTAATGGACTGTCCCTAATACATTCTAGATCTAAACTGATATTTTAATTAAATTGAATGAGGAGTGGAAAAAATAGTTATCAATTCTGCAGATGAAACAAAATTGGATGGAATAAAAATTGTAGGAAACACTGAAAAAACAGTTGCTTTGTTAACTGTTATTTACACTTACTGGATTTTTTAAACAATCTGTGTGGAATTTTGCAGAACTGTATGGAAGAATGTTAGAGAAAAAAACAACACAGAACTGAGGACCCTGATACTGGATTGGAGATGTGGGTGTCTGTATATCTTTCTTGACCCAAATTTTTGCCATATCTCTATAGGGAATAACCGTGTAGGAAAGATCATCATGACTGCTGCAGCAAAACATCTGACACCATTGACTCTGGAGCTGGGGGGTAAATGTCCCTGTTACGTGGATAAGTCCTGCAATTTCCAGAATGCAGCCAACCGAATTGTATGGGGAAAATTCCTCAATGCTGGACAGATGTGTGTTTCACCAGATTATGTGATCTGTACAACTGAAACACAAGAGCAGTTGCTGCCTTGCCTGCGCCAAGCTATCTGTGAATTTTTTGGCAAAGATCCCAAGAAGTCACCTGATCTTGCCCGCATGGTCAATGACAGGCATTTTCAGCGCGTCCGAGCTTTGCTGGAATGTGGCCGGGTGGTCATTGGTGGAGAGACCGATGAGTGTGAGCGTTATATTGGTGAGTATACAGCTTGGAACTGGAGGAAGACTAAAGAAGAAAGATTTGGAGTTTGAGAAAGACAGGAACACATTTTATGATTATAAATAGTCCTTATTAATCAACCATTTGAAGTTACAAGGGAGCTCAAAAAAAGATACTTACAACCCGTGGTGAAGTGACTGCATTTTGGACACTTGGCAACCAGCCTGAATTTTATAGATGTTTGCAGTATCCTGTGTTTATGTGATCACTATTATGTTTTTTTGCCAGAAACCGACATTTACGGCTGGTAAAAAAACACCAATTGCAAACAATGTGGTTGCTGAACAAATGCAAAGTTTGCTTAACAATCGTTATGTTTACTTAATCATCATTGCAAAAAAAAAGTAGTCTGTAAAATTGAGTCAGTCAACTTATGACCTGCTTATGGACAGGCACAGTTTACAACTATAATTCTGGGGTCAATTACCATCATAAGTCAAGGATTAGCTGTACTATCTAGTAAGACAACGGAGAAAATCTGTATGGTTGCTAAGAGTTGAAAATGACAATGGCATATAATAATCAAGCTTATTAAGAAGTGTATTATAAGTAGATATAGGGCTGTAGATCGCCCTTCCAAGTTGGTGCTCACCGAATGTTTTGGACTTTAATTGTCATTGGCCACACAGTAGGGGCTTTTTTAAAAGTTGAAGTCTAATGATCTGGCATGTGAGAGACTGGGAAAATCTGTTTTAAATAAAGCAAGAAGACAGACATGTTTTCTGGGGTTTCATATTGGAAATGTAGTCATGGGGAAAGCTAAAACTCTGGTTAAATCGGGCAATAAAGTTATAGTATATAAACAGAACAGACCTTGATGTGATCGTTTGCCCATTACAGCTCCCACAGTGTTGGTGGATGTGAAAGAATGGGACCCAGTCATGCAAGAGGAGATTTTTGGGCCCATCCTGCCAATATTCATTGTGAGAGATATTAAGGAAGCCATAGACTACATCAATTGTGGAGAACGTCCACTAGCTGTGTATGCCTTCTCCTCTGACTCCAAGGTATATTGTTTAGGTCTAGCATACTGTATGTGGGAGAATCTGGATTATTTCCCATAACCCCATCCAAGAGGGCCAAAAGAAAGGAGACTTGCACTATTTTCAAAATATGTTTATGTCGTAAGCTGCAATGAACCAACATGGTAGCAGTTCTTTGCCCACTGGTAATACAGTCTGGATGATAGAAGAAAAACAGAATTCTACCCATGATTATTTACCAATAAGCCGATGTTAAAAAATAATTGGCTCATCTACACATCCATAATGCAAAGAATTAGCACTATTTTTAAGATTATATTGTCAAAACATAGCCTCTCTCTCATCACCTGCCAACTGCTGAAGAGGTAACAACTGCTCTATGCTGTTCTGGCATGTTTAGTAATGTTTTCCCTTCTATTGTACCACAAGAGCTCCTGTGTAGACATTCTGAGGCACATGGAATCCTTTGGAGGTTCGCAGTCTCCTAGATTACAATTGCATTGGGTTCCTGAAGCAAAGTCTTTTCTTTCTCTGTCCCTGGACACCTCCCAACTTTTGGGAGGTAATTTCAATTATTTATCAGAGCTAATGGGGAGATGGCACCCTCTCCCAATTCAGGCACTGATATTTTTGCTCTATACCTCAGAGGTCTCCTATGCATTTTAAAAGAACAAACTTTCTCTTTACCTGGGAAGAGAGAAGTTGAGAAAAAGTTCTTAGTGTATCCTGTAAAGTCCTTGCTTGAGAGTAGAATGAGATGACTCACAGTTGCCAGGTCGGCACAGATGGGTGAGCGTGAACAGGTGGGTACAGCCAGATCGGGATAGTTGACTTGGTGCAGCCAGGTCAGCATGGATGGATGGGCGTGGCCAGGTGGGCACAGATGTGTGGGCGCAACCCAGTCAGCATGGAACAAGTTGCCTTGACCAAGTGGACATAGGGATAACTGTGTCCCACCAGAAGAAACATCAGCCCCTAAGGGCTGCTGGAGCCCAATGGTGGTCAATCCACTGCCCCCAAGAACAACTTTCCTGTTCTCCTTCTTCCTCCTCCTCCTCTGGCCGAGCCTAGCCTGGCCCACCTCACCTCCCCTTCCTGCCTGCTCCTGAGGGATAAGTTGCGGAAGTCTGCCGCCCCCCAGCTGCCTAGAGGTCCTGTATTGGCTCAAGCCCTCAGTGACCACTTGCCTGCTTGCCTGGGGTGCTTCTTCACCTGGCAGATTGGGGGGGCAGCATGCCATTGTTCTCCCTGCCACTCTCCAAGGAAATGAGAGGAGAGGACCCCACCCCAGTCCCATTTTCAATCTCTCAACTATTTTACTACAAATCATAGAGAATTTTTATTTCTTTATTTTTGCCTTCCAATTGATTTTTAGCAAATGGCTAACTGGCCCCATCTACAACATTCGTCATTTTGTGTCTGTGGCACATTTTCAACATTCCAAATATTCGTAGTGACACAAAAGCTAAAGACCCTTGTTTGTATTGTGACTCATATTATTATAGAGCTGGGACTTGATCAAACTCACGTTTGGAAGATTAAGAACAGTACTCTTAATACTCTTCTATTCTTTTTCTCTTGATAGGTTGTGAACCAGGTACTGGATTGTACTAGCAGTGGTACCTTTTGCAATAATGATATCCTGATACAAGCAATATCAGTTTCCCTACCATTTGGTGGCATTGGTATGATTAACCTTTTATCTTCTATGCTGTCTCCATTTCTTGCCCCCATCCTTATCCTTCCCTTCCAATGTGAAAAGTTCTCCCACTTGATGTTTTTCATTCAGACAAAGATGTTAAGAGTCCATTTTTTACTTTGTCCAGCATATTTCCAGATTAAATCAAATGCGATCAAAGAATAAATATCCCATGCTATAAGTCATGTGGTCATTTATAAATAAAGGAGAGGGCTGGAAATCTGGTCTACATTACACTGGTAAGTGGGAGAAAAGGGAGAGGGCTTAATATTTTTGATTTTGTAAGTGGTACTAACGAGATCATCAGGTTAAGTAGCTCTGGTTCAGTAGGTCTGGTCCCATACTCTACTAAAGACAGGTTGACATTCTGTGTAAATCAGTATTGCATTTTGGCTACCAAACATGGTTAAACTGATGTGCATATTTAATTTCTGTTCAATTTTTAGGCATGGTGATAACAAAAACAGCAGCACTGTAGTTTCATTTTATTGTGGATTAAGGCAGCTGTAGTTCAATGATCATGAAACCTAGCAAGCTAGGAAATTATTATCTAACCAAGCTTTGCTGTCTCTACTGAATTCTCTTCTTTAGTCCCTTTCTTTAAAAATATCCATTGCAATATGCATTGAATATTAAACCTTTTATAGTAAGTACTATGAGGAAGAACCTTTTTAAGGGCAAGTATTGTCCAACCTGATGAAAAACTGTAAATGGATTTGATCTGATTTTTTTCTTGTTAATATTGCAGGACTCAGTGGATTTGGCAAATACCATGGCAAGTTTTCTTTCGATACTTTTACTAACCAGCGTGCCTGTCTTTTGCGTTGCATGGGCCTGGAGATGATGAACAAAATGCGCTACCCACCATACAACAATACAAAATTGAGAGCAATGGTCGATGCTTTGGAGATCAGGCGCACTGTCCTGTGAACTTAGCTGTGAAGCCTTGAATCACATCACCTGCATTCTTAAGGATCTTCAATCAAGAATTTTGGTGTAGTGTGGGGAAAAATGCACGCACAGCAAACTGCCGTGCTTTCCCCCACACAAACCTCATAACCTCTTGATACCCTTTGTCCCAGTGAAGCAGCCAGAAGGTCATACCCTTTTGACTTAATGCCTCACCTACCTAAACAGACAATATGCTTAGTTCCTTCTCCTATCTTTTCCTGCCTTTGTTAGTTCCTTCTCCTGTTTGTTCTTTACCTGGTCTTTGATCATGTAATGTGTTACTAGAAAATAGTTGCTTACATGAAGATATTTTCCAATGAAGAAAACTTTGTCAGCATCTAATGATTAAGCTGGTGTATGTAACAAGTATATAAGAAGCAATAAACTCAGAGTTTGTCAAGCTGTGTCCTGCAGCTTCAAACCTCTGCTCAAGACATGCCTGCGTCTTTGTCTTAGCGTCTTACAGTGTAATTGAGAGATTTTTTCCTTTATCAGTTGGCTCTAGAATTTTGCTTCAGTACCTTCAAAGATCCTTGAAAAACACTTTCTGTTTGGCAAATCTTATTTTCACCAATTTTGCATCTTATATAGCTTTTCTTTATCCTGTATCAGCTTCTATAAATTCAATATTTAGTAGTGGTTAGAAAACTTAGGGACAGCCTCCATTTCTCTTTGCACAGTTTTGGGTATAGAACGTATCTTCATTTCCAGCAAGGATTAATTATACAATTAATTAATGTTTCTGTGTAAAATTTCATCTTGATTTTAACACATAAAGCCAATTCTGCTTCAAAATTTACGAGCATTAGATTCTTTGCTAAAAATGGACAAGTACAGTTCCTCTTTATAGTGGAGCAATCATTCTGATTAATATTTTTGTACAATAAGGCTAGCATCATGGATGGTCTTTGTAAAATAAACTATTTCTTTATGAATATTTAAATATTGGATCCATTACAAAAAAATTAATTCTCAAAGAAATTCAAAGCTAAGCTAATGCAGGTTGTTAAAAATAAATATATTCTGTCGACAATGCATTTTCTGTATTTGGATGCTCTAAAACTCAGACATGCCCTCCTTAATTATATTTCCTTCAATATATTTCTCTATAGTTACAGTTCAGATTCATTATTCTATCAGTGATTTCTACACTACTCAGCACAAAGGATAATAATTTAGAAATATATTATGTCCTATCAAGCTCAGAGATTTATTTTTATGTAAATCTGCTAATTGCAAACTTACTGAGATTTCCTGCAACCTTGCATTTTCAGGTAAATGTTTTGCTTCTGTAATAAATATCTTGCATCAAAACTTGCAAATAGATGTCTAATTATTTAATAGTGCTATCAATTGACATAGTGTATTACCTAATAAAATTAACCAATAATTAATTTCTAAACCAGGAACTTTTGATTGAAATGTAGATACTGGTGAACAAAGACAACAGAAAGAAGTCAATAAATGTGTTTATTTGTGAATGTGTAAGCAATTTGCTACAATAAAAATAAACAGCATCTTGGCATTCTAAAACAAGTAGCCATTCTAGGGAGTACACACTGGAGTAAAATAGTAACAGGTAAATCACAGGCAGCCAGTCTTGTGTTTCTTGAATGGGTACAAAGAGCTTTCAGAGAGTAATAGGATGTTCTGTAATGTAGATTACCAAATTATTGATTAATAGTGATTGACAATGATGCATCCTCTTTTTTGGGAAATAGTAGTACAGTGTTTCCAACCTCTGTGAGTTTAAGCTGGGTAGATTTCAGCTCCCAAAATTCCGCTAGTCAGCATACTGGCTGCAGGAATTCTGGGAGTTGAAGTCCACTCAGTTTAAACTTGTGGAGGTTGAGAAACACTGCATTAATAGAATGAATAAAGAAGTCATAACATATGCCTTCTTACAGGTAGAGTATCTCCATCCAGATTGCATTTGCTTTGCGGGGAAACAGGAACTGGAATATTGGGGAAGATATTACAATACAACTAAAACACGGCTTAAGACAAAAGAGCTTCTCAGAAATGTAAATTTCTGAGGAAGGAATAAAGAGCATAAAAATTATTTGAAAAGATAAAAGTATTAAATTAGATGGAAGCTATGTCTGGGATATGAGCAAAGTATCCAAAACCAATGCCAGGTAATACATAATATAAATACTATTCGTATCAGTTTAGATAACCTCATTTAGATAATATTTTAGCTCTCTAAATCAGTATAGCACTTTTTATTCAGGCTATTATAGATTGTTAGTTTATATAAAGCAACTCATCTGAAACTATTTACAAATTGTGATATGAGTTTCAATTACATTCCTTTAAGGAGTTTTCCACATTCTGGCATCCTGAGAAAATCCTGCATTGTGAGTCGCCCAGAATCATTTCTCGAGATGGCTGGCTCCAGGAATGAATGAATGAATGAATGAATGAATGAATAATAAATAAATAAATAAATAAATAAATAAATAAATAAATTTGGGGTTTTTTTCGCTCTCCCTCTAGAGATGCCATAACATGGAATGGATTCCAAAAGATGGTTCTCTTTTCATGAACACATTACCTATGATGATGACATTGATACTTAAGTCATGTCATGCTGCTGGATCAGGAATTCTGGGAGTTGAAGTCCGCAGATCATAAAGTTGCCATTGTTGCCCACCCCTGATCTATATACTACTAAAATTCTTGTCATTGCCATTTACTAAGTGAAATGGTGCATCATAGGGCAACAATTTTTAAACCAAGATACCTTACATCGGCTAACTTACAGAAAGTGCCCAATTACAGGACCCATGACTCCTGAGGGAATGAAATTTGGGAACGTTGGGGCTGCTTCAAGCTGCAGCTGTGGTCAGTCTCCAATTGCAGTCACATGATGGTCATTTTGAACATTCTGTGACAAGTTTCCTGCCTGTCCCACCATCCCTCCCTCATCCAGCTGTAAGGAATTGACTCATCATACGGCTTTTAAAGAAGCAACAAATTTAAGGTGCATGAAGCCTCAATATTTTTATTACTTCGCATGCCCCTTCCCAACTACATGCACATGTATGTATAACTCATCTTTGTTCAGGAAGTCAAGGCACATTCATGGTATTCCATCCTCCTATATTTCTTCACAACAACCCTGTGAAGTAATTTGTCCTGAAAGTCACTAAGTGAGCCACTGTGGCTGCTGATAGAGTAGAAATTGGATCTCTCTGGTGTTAGAGGCTTTAGCCACAAGTTGTTGATCCTTGCCCACTCTGTTTCATTTTTCAGCTACTTCCTACATTGAAACTGAACGTAGACCAGCCTTCCTTTGGCTGGCTTCAGCCCACAGGAGGTCAGAGGTCCCTCACAGCTTCCTACAACTCAGTAAAGAAGCTGGCAGAGATTCCAAACTGTTGTGAAGTGAGAATGGCAATGTACTATGTTGTAAAAATAAAATAATATTTGTCATCTGGGGTTGCAATGGGCCTGGGAGAATGCCAGATTATTTTCCTCTTCCAGTTCAATCTTTAGTTCATCATTTGAATGTTGACGTTTGTTTAAAGTAGTGATTGAAATAGTTATAGTTTCCTCAATGATAATGGTGTTCAAGTGGTGCTCTAAGGTGCCTTGGGTGCAATCCCAAAATATTTGGAGCACCACTTGAATACCCTTGGCTTTGACAAATTCACCATCGGTCAATTGCAAAAGGCAGCTGCATCCTGCAATGATATCTGCAAC